TTATTTATTATAAATTAAAAAATTAAAAATATACAAATCTAAATAAATTTAATAGATTAATTAATAAAAAGATTAAAAGTACATATTTCATAATGAAGGACTAAAAAAAGTATAGAAGAGTTAAATGACAAAAAGTATGCAAAACCTAAAGTTGAGGGGCCAAACTCTGGCATTTAGCCATTTCATTTTGCATGTTTTCTTGCTGGGATTGAGAGGGGAGATCTCATAGTTTTTTTTTTTTTTTTTTGGCAAAATCATTCCTTAAGCCCTCAGACGTACCCCATTTTTGCAAATATGCCCCTAAATTTAAAAAACGCAAATAACCACTTCAACCATGCAATTACAGCAAATTAGCTCTTCAATTAATGACTACTGATAATTCCCATTAATTTTAGTAGTCAAAAGATATGACTGCCATGCACATATATCTGATAATTAAAAGAAAATAAATAATTTCAATTTAGTCGTTAATTTCATTTAATTATCACCTTGATGCTTAATTTTTTTTAGGCTTAGATTTTCGGTGTTGTGATTAGCCATAGATTGTTTAGTATCTTACTATCTGAAAACTGTATAATATATTAATTAAAATTAATAAAAGTACAAAAAAATTAAGAATTATAAATTTATATTTAAAAATAGTACATATTAGCACATACTAAGAATTACAGATTTATATTTAAGAATAGTACATATTAAGCGGTGGGACAAATTTCTTGATCAGATCGGATCATGAACTAATCTGTTTCAAAAGTGATATTAAAAAAAAAAGAACCAAGTTTTTCAAACATCGGTTTTGTGGATCTCGTGAGTGAATTGTGTAACAAATTAACGGCTTAGTCAATCCAATGGCTAGGTGTTTCAACTTTTTAAAGGAACCTGGGCCAGATCATGAGACCGGCAATGCATGCATGTTTACATGTTGCCATCAATGTGAAAAAGGAATAAAATTAGATGTGGATGGGCTAAACAACTCAATCTTTGTTCTATTAAACTCTTGTGCTTTTCAGTGGTTTCGATGAAACGATTTTGTTTAACAAATAGATTATAAATAATAGATTTTATTAAGTATGTGTTTTTTTATCAATTATCTTTTTTTTTTTACTATTTTCGTTTCATTTTAATAATTCAATTTTTGACTTTCTAAAATTTAAACAATTTAAGAATTAGCAAAAATCTCAATAATTACTTGCTGGTTCAACTTTTGTTAGTTTAACTTTTGTTATTTAATAAAATAGAGATATAATAATTAATTATAAAAATTTCTTATGAAATTATATAAATATTTTTAATGAATACTCTTAATGAATATTTTTTGTGTATTAATTAATTAGAGTTGGTGGACGGGACCTTCCTTTAGTCCATACAAGAAAGCCATCGTTTGCGCAACTCAGTTATATATCTATTTTGAGTTGAATTTTATGTAGGGAGTTGTATAAAATAAATTATTAGAAGAAAAAGGGTTTTAGTGAAAAAATTTTGTGAAATTTTAAAATTATCATTATAATTTATATGTAATACATTTTAAATATTCATCACATATAGTTACTAATTCTATTAGCAATAACAAAAAATAAGACTTAGTTAACCCCTAATTTAATTCTTCAATTATTTTATAAAATTTTTATTTAACTTTTAAATTAAAAAAACTTCACATTTAATCCTTAAGATTTAATTTTTTAACTCTTTTTTAGTCCTCCTCTTTTTCTTTTTCTTTTTTTAATGACAGTGGCACGTTAAGTAACAGTTCACCCATCTTTATTTCATATGTGGAAAATGGAATTGATGATGTGAAAATTTTAAACACTAAAATTAATGACATGGACAATGAATATAACATAAAACTAAACAATTAATTTTATTTATTCAATTATACTAAAATTACAAAATTGCCCCCTTTCTTTCCCTGTTGCCCTCCAATCAACCCACCAAAACCTAGAATTCCTTCAATTGAACTAAAACAAAATTGAAACCAAATTTAGATTCTTCCTCTCCTTCTGTTTCGCTTACCATTTTAGATTCTCCAAACTAGCTTGTCTCTTCTCCTAGCCCAACTCCTTCTAGTAGATTCTTCCTCTTCTGCGTCCCCTTGCAACCAAGATCTAGTAGACAACATCGTTTTTATGCACCTCCTCCGTCGTCTTCCTCTGCTGCAATGTAGCCATTGAAGCCATGATAGATGACATTCCCAAGAAAACCGAAGACTTTGATCTTTCTCCAAAACCTTGTGCAGCAACCCATGTTACCAAATCTGGGTTTCATACTCCTATTCGCACGTCCAGATTTGGGTTCCATCAACTTATGTCCGAAACTAGTTTGTTGGCGCAATCCAAGTTCGATGGGAGTAAATTTTGAGTTAGCAAGAGAGAAAGAGATGGATAATTAGGGTTAATTTCATTTGATTATTACATTAACGCATTAAAGCATCGACAAACAAAGCTCAAGGGGCTAATTCACTGCAATTTCTGTAGCTCAGGGACCTATTTACTTTATTTTTATTGTAATCAATTCTTCTCCCAGCAATCTTGGTAAAATGCGGTCAGCAACGGATTACCAAAAACCGATGGTCTCTGGTATGGTTTCAACTGCATCAGTCAATTAACACATGTGCGGTTACGAAACCGTGCGTCCAACCCGAGTCCTAATTAATTAAATCACTTTGTAATACCTGAAAGACAGTAACTTGCTACTTTGATTGATGAAAGCTACCATTTTAAACACATGACCACTAGCTTTAAAATGTTGGAAGCATGTACATGCAATCAAACAGACATCTTTGAGCTTTGTGTGTCTACTGAAAGATTGAAACTTCAAATTTTTAGCATGAAAACTTTAGTATTCTATTTGAACTTCCATTGCCTTTTTATCTAGAGTAGAAGCTGGAACTCAACCGAGAAAATCTTCGACCGTGGTAAATTCGAACAAGGATTCACACTCTAGACTTGAGTACTCTGTAATTTAAGGCTTGGTTTTTCTTTTGTCTATATATAAATTTTAGTTTTTTATTTGTAATAATTGTATGCTGCTAGAAATTTTGTTGGAGGGAGCAAACTGTAGGGCCAAAATCTGTAATAATTTTTTAATATTAAGTATATTATAAAGTGTATTAAATAAAAACTGAAAAAATCATCTTCCATTAATATCCTTTAATTGTTGCCTTGTTGGGAATTTACTTCTAACCCAAGCTGCACTAATTGTCCCTTGCCTGAAAGACACTCATGGAACTTGCTACAGTAGTCACATATAGAGCAACCTTCATGTGTGACTCAGATTGCAATTAATATTGGTGAAAATGTCAATTTAAGCCCTCAACTTTTATATTCAAATTCATCTTTGAACTTTTAAACGTACCACAAATTAGTATTTTAACCCTTAATAATCTTCTCATGCTCTTTACACTTCCACTTTCTCCAGTCATACGACCAAAAATCAACGGCATGTAACTGTAACACCTACAATAAAGATATATATGCTTCTATGCCTTGCTTTGCCGGCAAAAGAAGAAAAGAATACGTAATAGCAGTGTTTTGGTCTCTATATATATTCCCGCATGATTTCCTATATGATATCATATATATGACTAATTCTCTCCTCATCCTCCAGCAGCAAACTTTTTTCCTTCATTCATTCTTCTGCTTCTGCCAATTGGTGAGTACTCTTCGGCTACATAGAGCTATGATTCTTTGCTCTTTTTATTAAAATATCTCGTTATATATGAATCAATGCATTTTGCTCTTTTTTGGGAGGGAGAGAACAACAGTGCCGAAATTTGAATTTGAAAAGGTTAAGACCGATTGATCGATTTCGAGGAAAATGTACGATACTAAATGTTTTTAATTTTAAATTTGAAATCCAAATTAATTATCATTTTCTTATTTATCAAGGTAGACAAATATTTTGTTCTTATATTAATCTCATCATTATGAATAATGATTAGTATATATTTTAATTTAACACACCTAATAACACTCACCGGTTCAATAATTAAGAAATTAATATTTTTAAATATGAATTTAATGTGGGAAAATTTTCAAATGTAAGTTTTAATGATTGAACCGAAAAATATACCAATTATTTTTCCATCATTATACATTTATTTTAATTAATTATCCAATCACAAAAAGTCTATCTTTATCTTTTATTTTTTAAAGAGTATTATATATAAATACAATTATTATCCTTAAAT